CCCTGCCCCGCGCCCCGCCAGGTGTGCGGCTCCGGGAGCGCAGGTGCCCAAGGCGCGGCCCCGCCCGCGGCCGACTCCTTAATTACCAGGTGTGACCCGGCGCGACCAGACCGGATTTGGGCTGAGACTTCCGGGCCCCCGCGGCCACCGGGGACTCCGGCCCGCCCGGGCGACCGGGCGCCTGGGCCTGGACCCGAGCCCGCAGCAGAGGGCGCGGCGGCTGCAGCGGGCGGGCGTGGAGCGCTGTTGTCCGCCGCAGGCCGCAGGAGGGCGCGGGGAAAGGCCCGGCCCGGCCCGGCCCGGGAGCGGACTCCGCGCAGCCCGGGCACTCGCTGAGCCGGGGCTGCCCACCACGAGTGCATCGGGCCTCCGTGTCCCGCCACGGGCCAGGCTCCAACCCCTACTCCCGCGCCGCTGTACATTGAATGGGCAGTGTTCCGCCAGGTGCTCTGTCACCTGCTGGCTCCCTAAGACTCCTTCAGCCATTGTTTTCTTCTTTTTTTTTTTTTTTCCTCCTTTGAGAAAGGATCTTGCTGTGTCACCTGGGTGGAGTGCATTGGCATCAGCCTGGCTCACAGCAACCTCAAACTCCCGGGCTCAAGTGGTCCTCCTGCCTCATCCTCCTGAGTAGCTGGGACTACAGGCTGCAGGACACCACTGTCGGCTAATTTTTTCTGTTTGGGTCTCGCTCTTTCCCAGGCCAGGTCGAACGCGTGACCTCAAACGATCCTCCCACCTCGGCCTCCCAGCGTGCTGGGATTCCAGGCGTGAGCCGCCACCGCCTGGGCCAGCCATTGTTTTCTAAGGTTCATTCCTTGTCTACACTCCCCAACATGGATCGCCTGGCTCCAGCCCTGTGTGGACTGCTCTGCAGGCCTTGTCCACCTCCGCATACCTGCTGTGGTCAGGCTGCTCTAGGGCCAGGACTCCTGGGGCCTGTGTCCAGAGACCGGAACGTAGCTTGGCAGAGTCTTCTGGAAAGCACAGAGCAGCTGTCTGGAACCTTGGTGGTGGTGGTGGTGGGAGGGAACCCAGGGTGACTGGGAAGGGGGGCGAGGATGGCAGGAATTTGGGGATATTTCTTAAACCGTAACTTCCCCATGGATTATTTTGTAAACCCAACCACTTCCCCCAAAGTGACCTCCAGCTACACCCACAGAAGCCTTGAGCTGCGGTTTTTTTTTTTTTGACACGATCATTAGCATAACAATAGCACTTTCTAGAGCACTCACCAGCAGTCAGTGTCGGGGACCAGGTCAGGCCCCCAGAAAACCTTCTAGAGTGGGGGCAGTCACTGGCTTCTAAAGGGGCACCCAGCCCCCAGTCATCTTCCCAAAGTCACCTAGCAAGTGCCCTTCTGTGTTCTCCCTCTGAAGGGAACATCTGTAACCATGGATACCCTTTTTCTACCCAGGACCTCCAGATAGGAGTATGGGGGAGGACGGGGATCACCCCGAGGAGGACGACCCTTGAGCTCCGTCTCCAGGTTTCCACTCACCTGCTGTTTCCAAAGTGCAAGTCATCGTCAGGATGCCACGTGTGGCCCACAGGACCAACCCCTGCCCTGCCTGACCCCTGCCCTGCGTTCCGGCTGGCTCACCTCCGCCAGCCGCTTCCCCATTTCTGAGATGAGAAAACAGGGCTGTGGCTTCTTCCTTCAGCTGACCTTGATTGTGCAACTTCTCAGAGCAGACCGAGCTCAGACTGTAAGAGCTCTCACACCTCCCACCCACCCCAGCACTGACCAGCAATAACTAAGGCCCAGGCTGGGAGGGGCGCCTTTGGGCACCCAGAAGGTTCCCAGAGGCAATTTTGCTAGGCTGGGTCCAAAAGGGAGGCCAGTCTGAGAATTGGGAACAGCAGGGTCAAAGGCTGGCATGGGGGTGGGGATGGGCCACAGATCCTGCCCAGAGGAGGAGGTTCTGCCTCAGAGGGTCTGGGGGTCAAGAGCGGCTCCTGAACTCTTGGACTGGGGGCTGCAGTGTGTGACACACCCCTACCCTGACCTTTCCCAGCCCCAGAGCTGCCAGTGCTTGAGGCCACTGTGGACTTCCGTTATTTGGTGTTTTTTTGTTGTTGGTGTATTTTCTCTTATTTTTCATACTTCAGACCTCCCAAAACCTGGACTTCCCCTCCCCAGGGATGAATAATGGGTGCCAGCAGGGACAGGGGGGGGCAGAGGGAGAAGGAGCTGGGGCCCCCAGAGTTGGGCTCTGTCATGGTGGGGGTGGCTCTCAGGGGCAGGGGCTAGAGAGGTGCATGTTGCAAGTCTTGGGAGTCTGGCTACCAGCTCTGGGAGGTGAGAAGTTGGCATCAGCTGGCCTGGCTGGGGTGCATGCAGGCTGCCCAGCACCCAAAGGGGAAGTGGCCAGGACCAGGGGCGGTGGGTGGCTGCCAGAGGCTGAGGCTCCCTGTGGAGGTGAGTGTCACCAGCTATCCTGAGGTCATCTTGTTCAGCCTCCAGCCAGGACCTGGCTCAGGCACCACCCCGATTCCCAGCCTCTGGCCTGAGAGCTAGAACTGGGGCCCCCCTCAGGGGCCAGTGCTGGGGTTGGCCCACTCGATAGTGTCCTGTTTGGCCTGGTTTGGCAGTACAGCTCTCTGAATACCCAGCGCGCCAGGCAACTGAGGATTCAGCAAAGAAGGAAGCTGAAGCCTGTCAGGTGCTCACCTTTTGGTAGGGCAGACGGAGCAGAGGAGTTGGGGTACAGCTTCAAACAGGGGTGACAGGCATCCCTCCCTCCAGCAGAGGGAGCAGCAGGCGTGGGACCCTGAGGCTGGGGAGCCTGAGTCTGCGGTGGGCAGGGGTCATTGACAACAAAATGGGGTCACTGGAGTGGGGACTCACCTTATTCTCACAAGATCCTTGCTAAGCACCAGGCACAGAGAGACCTAGTAACTTGCCCCAGGTCACCCAGCAAGCAATAAGCGGGGCGGACTTGGCAAGTGGAGATCGGGACGGGGAGGGGCTGGGGAAGTCACCCGGCGGGGCCAAGGTAGCAGGGTGGGAGGTAAGGCGCAGTGGGGCCCCTCGCGGCCGACATTGCCCCGCCCATCAGGGCTGGCCCGGGAGAAGGCGCGGGCGGGACTCCGCGGGGGCGTGGCCCGGTCCGGGTTTCGCGTGCGCTGCGCCCCAGCTCCAGGTCCCCCTGCTGAGGGCCTGGCTCTGCTAGCGCGGGGGCTGGGGGGAACAGAACGGGGGCTGCGCCCTGCCCACGTGGACGTGCAAGCCACGCGCTGGGGGCCAATGGAGGAGGGTCGCCTGCAGTGGGGCAGGTGGCACTCCACGACCTGTGTGCACCTGCGACAGGTGTGCCTCCATAGGCGGGGCGGGCCAGTAACTCGGACTGGAGGAAAGAGCTGGAACTGTGCTTCCCAGGGTCCCCGTGCCATGCAGGTGCCAGGGTAATGGCTCCTACCGCCGTCTGGGGTTAATGCGGTCTGCAGAAACTTGAAGTTTGGAAATTCCGCCTGTGTACAGTTATCCTCTCCACACTGCCCTAGCCAGTGCGCTCCAAATGCACCCATGTGGCACCCACTGTGAGTGCCTATTTTGCTAAGGGGACAGCGACTGCCACGCCGCTGGGATGCCTGGAGAGGCGCCAGGCTGGGGGAAGCAAGGGGCAGGGCAGTACACCCCAGGTCCTGCCTGGCCACTGCAGGCCCCAGCCCTGCTTCTTGACTCGGGAGCCCCTCCCTCCCAGGGCCTGGGGGCTGCCAGCCTGGAAGGACCTCAGGTGCTCTCTGGCATTTTATAGGGGTTTTGCAAGACAGCTGGCAGGGTTAAAGCAAAGAACTTGGGTGTCTATTAAGAACAGATTTATTTCAGGGAGAAGTGGGAGAGGAGGATGGAGCAAGGCACACCCACCTGCTCAGCCTGCCAATCACTCTCACCTGGCAGCCTGAGGCAGCCCCGGGACACCCGCAGGAGCAGTGCCGCACTGTCCTTGAAGAGATGGCAGGTGGGCACTGTTGGTCCCATCAGAAACGCACCCAAACACCAGGACAGGACAAGACCTGCGGCTAGCTGGGGTCCCCAGCACCCCGTGTGGAGCAGTGAAGGGGGCACCCAATCCCAAGTGCCACCCTCCCGCCACTCTGGTCTTTCCTGATAATTAGGAAAGGGGCGCCCAGGCCGGAACACTGTCCACTGAGGGCGCTGTTTTCCTCACTTACTTATGAAGAAGCACCAGCATATAAGCCATGAAAACTATACTTTTCTTTTTTGAGACAGGGTCTTGCCCCGTCACCCAGGCTGAGCAGAGGCGTCATTAAGAGCCCACAACAGCCTCGAACTCCTGGGCTCAGCCTTCCAAGTAGCTGGGACTAGAGATGTGTACCACCACAACCGACTTAATTTTTCCATTTTTTGAGAGACGGGGTCTTGCTGTCACCCAGACTGGTCTCATCTCCTGGCCTCTAGCCATCCTCTCACCTCAGCCTCCCAAAGTGCTAGGATTACATGTGTGAGCCACCGCACCTGGCACAAAACTACCTTTTTTAGTCTTGCACAGCTTAGATCATGAAGACTAGGGATATGCACAGTCCAAGGTGTTTTCCCACACTTTGGTGGCAGATGCTCCTTTTATTTCCAGGTGTAGTTCTTTCATTCAGACTGAGAACTGTTCAGTCCAAAGGAAAGCTTGTGTGTGTGTAATAACATGTCCCTAGACATTTTGGGGGAGGAGAAACAGGAAGTAAGGGCAGCCAGCTTGGTGGAGGCTGAGAGGAGGAGGAGAAGGGCAGGGCAGTTGCAAGGCGCCTTGCGCAGAGGTCCCAGGGTGGAGAAGCAGCTCTGGAAGGTCTAGGGGTGGCGGGTGGACCTCAATGCTCTGCAGACCTGTGAGGGGAGCTGATGCCCCTCCCATGGATTCTGTGATGTGGGGGTGGGCCCACACACTGCCTGGGGTGACAGTGGGGCCTCAGAGCAGCAGGGCCCCCAGGGAGGGGACAGCCCCCTCCACAGAACAAAATGGACCTGCAAGTAACCACAGCACAGGCCCTCATGTCAAACTGCTTTATTACATCTTAAATAACAGTACAGTTTAATATAGTATCTATCTTGCATCCAGCTTCCTTGCAGTACACTGACTTTAAAATTAAATACAAAAGGTGAAAAGGGTAAGGGTGCAGAGAGCTCTACAGAGGTGTTGATGGAAGGAGAAAGAAGGGTTTCATTTTTATTCTCTTTGCCAGATCCAGGCCTACCGCACGGTCACAGCACAGTTTTGTATAGTGTCGCAGAACAGGATGGAGAAGCCACTACTGCTGCTATGAGGGGTGCTGGGGTGGGGGTGGGGGTCCACAGAACGCTGCTGTCCAAACGCTGCTGCTGGACACTGGGCTGGAAATGAAACCAGGACATTTGCATGTGGTAAAAATGATCTGCCTTGGATCCCAGGCTCGTTCTGTGGGGAGGGGCCACGGGGAGCTGGTGGATCGGGAGGGCAGCTCTCCGTCCCTTCTCCGTCCTGCCTCCCTCTCGACCCTCAGAATCCAACAGCAACCGTTTGCAACAGGACTGGTTTTTTTTAAAGAAATAAAGAAAACAGTGACTTATCCTGCTACTCAAGCGTGTAGAGCTGCTTATTGTACTGCTTCCGATATGTGTGCAGAGCAGCAACAAGAAGTGGACAGAGCTGCAATGGTTACACGTTAAGAGGTTATTTCTTAAAACAAAAAGAACATCTAAGGACTGAGTCCTATATGCACTTTTGAGCATTTCTACAGCATGCGAATCTAAGAGTAAACCCACCCAATATGGCAAACAATCAAATTTTTTTAAAATTTAACTTAGAAAGTCTGAGATCATTATTTTCAAAACATTGATTTGTACATTGTTTCATACACAAATAACTGACTGACTATCCAAGCACAGGACAGGCATCTCTCTTGAAAACAGGTTCCTGGTGGTTGGGGTGGGGCGGGTAGTGTTAGGCTGTTATGAACTTCCCTCCAACTCCACAAGGAAACCCGGGTGAGATGAAGACTAACTGAGAAGGCAGAGAGGCTGGGCCGGGAGGAAGTGGGTGCTGGATCTGAGTTCACTATTCAGAAAAGGCGAGGGGCTCTCTGATCACACATGCAAGACCGTCAACAGCGTGTGCTTGGTCACTTCCCTTCTCAACACGTTCTTTTCTATGCCATGTTTGTGTGCGACAATCATCGCAACATAGACAGAAAACGAGAAAAAAAAAAACAAAAAAAACCCAGGGACTGAATTTACATCAGTGACAATGTCAGAGAGGCTGCCCTAGACTCTGGTTCTGTTTCACTACGAACATAAAGGAATATATTTAAAAAAGGAAATATGAATGCTTCCAAAATCCTGTTACAAACATGACTTGAAATTTAGAAACTATTACAAGATAAAGTCCTTAACTTGTTTTGCATGAATGTCACAAACAGGGTCACTGGTCTAAAGTTCAGATAAGCTAGCGGAGAGGTGTGTCTGTCCCACATTACACTCAGGTTACCTTCTGGTTAACATGTTTATTATAGTATTTCCTTTTAAAATTCATTCAAGACAAAAAAGAAAACGAAGACGATGGCCCCGGAAGGAATGCACAATTTGTTTTAGTTTACAGCACAGAGATCCTTCTCTCGACGGGAATTGTGCTCTTGGTTTCAGCAATAAGTGAAGGAAAAAGATCTTGCCCTTTTGAAGTTCTGAGGGGAGGTGCAGGGTGTCCACGTTAGTGCGGCTGGATGGGGTATGCTCTCACGGTCAGGTCACGGTCAGGGTGGAATGGTCTTCCAGTCTCCGCAGCGCCCACGTGCTGCTGTGGACAGAGTTTCAATAAATGGAAAAAGAAACAACATGTGAACAACTGCTCTTGTCACTGCCACACCAGCGTCTGCGGCTGAGGGCACTTCACTCCCGATTCCGTAACTGTTAACCTCACCACAGCAACCCACACTAGTGCCACCACCATGAACCCCGACTGCATGTTTCTGTGGGAACACACAGCTCCTCTCCAAGGGCCCTGGGGTCCTTACCTCCTGGTGTTAGTTCCAGATCTTCAGGAAGCTGTCCCAGGACCCTGTGGCCACAGCCATGCCGTCGTCAGTCACTCCCAGGCAGCTGACGCGGTTGTCATGTCCGGCCAAGACACCTGGGCACAACCACAGCACAGTCATGCTGGAGCCCGGAGGGGCCTTACCCCTACGTGACACTGAGATAGGGCTGGGTAGCTCCTCTCTGAGAGGAAGGCTAGACCCAGGACCCGCCGTGGGCAGAGGGGGAGGGGCCTATCCGAGTGGAGAGCAGATGCTGAGCGGACACGCACGGCTGACCCTGCCAGGGGCAGCGACCCCATGCTCCTTCCCTAGAGACAGCCCACGGCATGGAAGAGCTCACAGAAAACACACACGCTCAAAAGCCTGCTCTTATGTCTGTTTAAAGGCAAGTTGATTTAAAAAGAGAAAAAAAGGCAGTAAGACGACCAGAAAACTCCTTCATTCAAAAGGTACACAGAACATAGCCTCTTGCGCTGACTTCTCAGCACTCACTTAAGCAGCTTAAAAAATGAAGCAAAAACCACCATTAAAAAGTATCAAAATCAGCCCGATCTCAAAGCAACAACCTACAGCATAAGAACGTGTGGGTGTGGGCTGCCTCCCCTGGCCTGTGACCGCAGCGCCTGCCAGAGAAGGCTCGGCAGCCGGGAGACCACGGGGCCGGCGCCCAGCACCGAGAGGAGCCTCCTGTGGACGCTGCACAGTCCTGCATGGACAAGCCCAGAGCCGAGACGCTGCACTCCTCCCACGGGGAGCTGCAGGCTCCTTTCAGACAAGCTCCTCCACCTCCACGGCACCAGGCCACAGCTGGGCACCGGGCTGAGTGTTCTCTGCGGAGGCCGGGGCTGGCTTCCTCGGCCCTCAACGGCTCAGCGACTGAGGGACTCGCTCCGACACACTCTGATTTGGCCCACTCAGGCCGGGGAGAAAAAGGGAGGCATTTGCCCAGGAGGTGGAAGCAGCATCCATCAGAAGCAGGAAGTCATGGGGAGGCCACGAGGCCCGGACACATGCTCCCTTCTGCCACCCCCCACGCACTGAGATGGACAAAGTTGAAAGATTCTGAAAGTGTCAACATTCTCCAATTCAAATGCCCCAATGTCCATGAGAACAGATGAGATGAGAACAGAAAGTTCTTATCTTCTCTACAATTTGTACTTTCATATACTTGACAACGACGCACTGGCTCTCGATACACAAAACTCCGGCTATAAACTGAAGGTCGCTGGGATGTGCCTGCCCCACCCGCACTCCACAGGCTCCCTCACTTTGTCCCCGTGGACTCACAGGGCTGAGCGGCTGGGTCCCCTGCTGCCCACAGTGCCACCCACGTGCCCCTCACGAGCTCGGGTGGGAGGAGCTGCTGGTGCCCATGGGGTCAACCCACCTGGAGGGCCAGAGCCGGGACATCCGGCGGGGACCCTCCCTTCTGCCACGCCACAGCCTGAGTGACAGAGGCTGAGACACTGCAGCTGATGCACGTCAGGCCTACCCTAAGGACACTACCCGAGCACCCAGGAGACGTGGAAAGGCCCCACAGCCACCTACCTGCCCTGTCAGCTTTGAGCGCGTCCCAGACGTTGCAGTTGAAGTCGTCGTACCCGGCGAGGAGCAGGCGCCCGCTCTTGGAGAAGGAGACGGAGGTGATGCCACAGATGATGTTGTCGTGGGAGTAAGTCATGAGTTCCTGGTCCGCACGAAGGTCAAACAGCCTGCAGGTAGCGTCATCCGAGCCAGTGGCAAACGCGTTGCCATTTGGAAAGAACTGGAAAGAGAAAGGAAGTCAAGACAGTGTGTAAATGCTCAAATAAAAACATTGGAGATACGGATTGCTCGATGGCGGGCTGCTGACACAGCAGGCAAAGATTAGCAAGAGCAGGGACCCACTCGGGACTGGAATAGGATGGGGCTCGCACCAGTGACGCTCATAGACACTGTGACCTGACACCGCGGTCGTTGTCCCCAGGGAGGAGATTTTATTCCAACAGAACAGTGGGAATGTGGCCATAACTGACAAGCAGTGTGTCTCTGTAGCTGCCGACTGTCAGGCTAGTCTCGTGGAGTGAGGAGGGAAGAGGGCTGACCCCCGGTCAGCACTGCAGCAGAGCTCTGCGCCAGGAACCAGACCTGTGCCTCCCCGTCTGGAGGCCAGTGGCTGAGCACACCAGTGGCCTGCTGTCAGGGTGCTAGAACGGAGGGAGGAACTTGGACCAGCTGCACCCTGACCTGTAGTGGTGGCCTGTATTAGTTTACTGTCTGTCTCCAGCTAGAGGTAAACACCAATGACTGGTCACCGCGAGGGGTGGGGACAGGGCCGGGCACAGACACCTCGTGGCTATGTGTGAGACAAAGGGTCAGCACAGAGCCAGCTGGCTCCTGAAGGCCACAGCAGATCCCGGTGGAGTTTGCTGTGTACTTGTCTATAAATTAGATTGTAATTGCATGGAAGGAAAGAGAGAGAAATCTAATCCAGAAAACAGTGTAAAATTCAGCAACCTAAACCACTTGCAAAGCCAACGGAGCCCGTCCCCACGCCTCCACCCAAGCTCACGCAGATGGCGTTGATGTCGGACTCGTGGCCGGTGAAGGTCTGCCGGCACATCCCTTCTCGCACGTCCCAGAGTTTGGCTGAAGCATCGCAAGCACCAGAGACAAACAGCCTGGCGTCGGGAGCGAGAGAAAGGCTCATGACGTCTCCAGTGTGTCCCGTGAATGTGGTCGTCTGCTGGCCGGTCTCGATGTCCCACAGAGCACTGAGCAAACGACAACAGACGTCAGCCTCACACTCTCAGACCGGTCCTGAGACTGACTGCCCTTCAAAGCCAGGGCCACAGTAAACCTCTGCACTTTGACTTAAGAAATCTAATTTTTTAGAAGACAAATTCCCTTGTATCTCTGCTTAATGGGCTGGCTGTCCACAAGTGACACCTAGACCGCACCCTGCCGGAGCCTGGCTATACGAGGCAGGCTCCAAAGCTGCCAGCCCAGGTGTGGTTCCTGCGCCTCAACCCGTAGAACTGAGAGCCACCAGCTCGCGTCAGCCTTAGCGGAGAGCCTGGCTGGGCAGGCAGCACAAATCCAATCAGTTTATTCTAATACAAGTTGCTCAGGGAGTCTCCTTTCTAGGGCCTGAGGGACGCAAGGAAGAAGTAAGATACCTATAGGAGTCTGAAAAAAAATGATTAATGAATAAAAGTACTTTAAAAATATCTTCTAATAAATAAAGTCTTCCCAAGATTGACGGCTTAGACTATAAATATCTGATTCCATGAAGTTGTATGACCAAGACACCCTATGATATCACGCACCCCCTGCTCACACGCCAGGTGAGGGCCCACATTTCAGTGAACCCCTACTGACCACACACTGGCGTCCGTCACAGATGGACGGCCAGGCCGCTCCTGGCACTAAATCATGCCTAAGACGACTAGAAAAACCCACAAGGACAGTTTAAGACTAAAATGACTCTCATTAAGTAACAATCTAGTCATTTAATTTATGTGCTTTGACAGCACAAATGAAAAAATTTTAGAGCTTATTTAAGTAGGCTTCCGCCTACCAGTATGATAAAAACTTTATTAACAAGTCACTTAAACTGTGACACCTGCTATTTTTAAGCTGCACTCACCATTCATACTCGACGGTGCCATCAGAAAGGGACGACTCAAGCCCACCCAACTCCCCCAAAGGGCTACAAAACATCACCTAAGCAGGTAAAAATACACAGAGAAAAGAAAAGAGCAGAGCAGGTCCTTCATGCACAACCGTAGCTTAATTACCTGTATTTCACTTAGCTGCTCAAGACTCAACTTTCTATATCTACAAACAGTAAACCAACTCACCCATGGCCACTTTGTGTTTTAAGTCTTTTTTTCCCACACTAAGACTTTTATAGTCATATGTTTTAAATCTTAAGACCATTTCAAATTAAAGACAGCTTAATTCACGTCAAGAATCTTACTTCCAATATGTCTAGATGCTGCAGGAGTGACAGGACCCACAGAGGCCACCGCCTGCCCTGGCTCAGGTACTTACCATGTGGTGTCTCCAGAGCTGGTGACGATCTGATTGTCATCCAGGAACCGGCAGCAGGACAAGTAACCTGGCAAAGAGCAGACCCAAAGATGATTCAACCCAGCGAGCAGATCCTACAGCCTTGCAAATGCAGACCGTGAGCTGGCGGCAGGGCGGTCTGTGCACAGCAGGAACAAGCACGCAGGGGGTCCGTGTGCTCTGCTGGCAGGAGCCAGAGCCTGGGCAGGCGGGAGCGACACAGGACAAGAAAAGGCAGGTCGGGACAGCACTTCCCGTGAGACAGGCACACGCCACTCGCATCTGCTTTCTGTCAACACATGAAGCCTGGGGTGGCCCTCCCTCCCGCCCACTGCACATGTGACAGGAACTGGTCCCAGGGCCTGGCAGGGCGGCACTCTGGAGACCAGAACACATCCCTGCGGAGGGGGCACGTCTTGCTCTCCTGAACCTCATGTTCCAGTGAGGAGAGAGAACAAGATCCACTTCAAGAGAAAAGCGAGTGTGAGGGAAGGAAAAGGGACAGGCAAGGACGTACAGGTCGTGGAAGGGCTGACGAGGATGACATGCTGGAGAGTGAGACCAGCTACACCGCAGGGGTCCTGAGGATGTGGGGGTGGGCCCCCACTGGCGAGCACGCGTGGGCGGGTCTGTTTCTCAGGGACAGCAGCCGTGACATCTAAGTCTATGTGGGAACAGGGCTGTGTCCCCGAGCACCTCCTCACTGCCACGGGGAAGGACTCATCAGAAGCAAGACAGTGGGGTTGTGAGGCTGGGGACACTGCAAGACACCCCGTCCTAAACACCTTGGCATGAGGAAAGGTGAAAGCAACACATTCCGCAGCACCCACACATTAAGATTTCACGTTAACAACTGTTTGCCATTACTTTGCACTTCGTGTGCTCACCATGGCTCTAGAACTAACCCTGAGGACTAAAGTGCAGGGTCAACAAACCTGCATCTGCCCAGGGCTGGTGACAGACTGACCCTGACCTGGCCACTCCGAGGTGTCACAGCGGCCCTGGCAGTTCTCGAGGAGAAAGCGTTTAGACCGGAGTGTTTGCTGAGACGCTTTCCTGCCAAGCACGCCCAGGGAGCTGTGTGACACTGAACAAATCAGTAAACCCAGAAACAAAAATATGACACGCACGAGGAAGAAAGCCATGGAGGCTGTGACGTGGAGGTGTAAGAACACAGGGAAACCAAAGCATTTGCCTAACAAGCTTTGTTAAACTGGCTCCCAAAGAAAAGATAAGCAGACACGATGGATTCCAAAACGCTAACTGTGCACTTAGAAAAGGACACGCGACCCAATCCCTCCTGGAGGCCACACCCACAGGGACGCCGGTCACCACAGGTGAACCGAAGCCCTTCATGGAGGAGGAGGAACACTCCGCACAACCAGCACCCCAGGTGGCCCCTCTGCTCCTCAGAGGGTCCCACTTGGTCCCCGCACTTGTCACCCTGATTCACGTCAGCCTGGCACTTCTGAAGTCATCCTGGGCTCCAGCTGCCCCTGCGGTGTCCAGCCGGACCACGCACCAAGCCTCACAGCACCTGTCCCATCTGACACACGAGCACAGACGGGCAGGAAGGAAGATACCGCTGGCATCTCCCGTAGGGCCAAGTGGGGACACTCTCAGGTTTGCTGCACGAAAGAAACACAACTTCAGAGATGACCTTTGTCACCTTGTGTGGGCACAGTGGAGCCCCCCTAATCCGTAAGCTCCTTACCCCAAGAGCCAGAAGCAGAGCGCTAGCATCCCAGCTCTCGAGCACTGACACAGGCCTGGATAAGCGTCGCTGACAGGACTGCGCAAGACGGGGAAAGGACCACTTTTACAAACTGCACATGCTCCCCAGCTGAGGGTCTCTCTTACTTTCAATGGTCTGAAAATGATAGGCATTTAGTAGAAATCCTACTGAGCACCACACAACCACCCTGTTTTCCACTTTCAGGACAGTATTGGATAAATTACACAAGATGTTCCACACGTGGCTATAAAACAGGCTTTGTGTTGGATGGTTTAGCACAGCTGCAGGCATCTGTGAGTGTCCGAGCGCAGCCACGTGGGCGGGGACGACCCAGGCTGCTGGGCAGGGTGCTGTGCTCACGGCGGTCGGGAGGGCAGGTGGTGAGGACACTAGGTGTGCCCAAGGCCCGCTCCATGTTCAGAGACCAGGCATGCCAGCTCCTTCAAGGAAAACCTCACGGAGCCTCTCCCAGCTGAGAGGCTGTGAGTGGCAGAGATCGAAGACTCTGAAGCAGAAATCACTGTGCCCCACGGTTGGCGTGATGGCTAACAGTACAAGTTCCTGCAAGTTCTTTCAGAGTTCCTGCCTCCCCATGTGAAGTAGGGATCATTTCAGATAACTGCTGGGAGGAGCAGAGCTGCCTGTGCACGTTAAGAAGTTCTCAGTACATGGAGGCAGCTATGATTTCTGTTATTACCGAAGAATGAAGAAATTCCCTGGGGGGGTGTGGGAGGGGGATACTCCGGTGGCAACACGCCCTCTTCTCCCAGGTGTGGGGGCCTGTCACCCTCTGCAAGCCTTGCGGGGCAGAGAAGCAGACCCTGAGCAGAAGCGTGCTTGCAGTGTGGAGGCGCAAGGGCACGACAGTGTCAGCCTGCGTCTCAGGGACAGGCTGGAACTCGGCCTGGAGCTGCGCCGTGGCCTGGGCCCACGGCAGTGAGCGCAGGCCTCTCAGAGGTTGCCGGCAGCAGCGACAAAGCTGCAAAGTCCAGGACAGAGGCGGCGGCTCGTGCTGCCAACCCAGGTGCCTCGAGGACACAGCAAGGGGGGTCTAGGGAACAGCAGCCACCAGGCACGGGGGAAAGGGACAACACAGGCACATACCCCCGTCTTTACTAAGTGCAGCTGTCGGCCCCACGAGGGCAAGGCCAGGAACAACGTACGGAAAGGAGTGACGAAGTGCCGCCACCTAAAGTAACTCATCCAAGAACATAGTTACGGGCTTGAAAACCATTTACCTAAGAGTATGGGGCTTACTGCAGCAATGTTTGTAATAAATAGTGAAAAACTGGAAACTGCCTAATTGTCCAACAACAGGGAAAATGAGTGCACCACACAATAGAATTTTCCACAGTTCTTAAAGGTAACATTGTAGTGCTGGGTGGGATTATTGGTTAAAAACATAAAAGAAGATGATTCAAAGTTTGTTTCCAAAATGTCTACAGCGAACACACATCGGCAGTTTGAGTCCTCCCACCTGCACCCTGGAGAACACCCAGCCTGGGTGGCTGGGGCCGGGGCGGGGCAGGAGGAGGCTGCTCGAGGAGCAGCACAGCAGCACAGGACGCTGTGGCAGCAAGCAGGTCACCGGTGCGAAGAAATCAAAGGCGACCAGGCTTGGGCTCTGGCTGCTCAGAGCTCCTCACCCCTGCAACACAGCCTGGGCTCCCTCAGAATCTGGGGGCTGCTCCGGGGCAGGAGTTGGATCCACTCTGACCAAGGAAATCCTTTCACTGCTGGGCTGCCAAGCTGGCAGGGCAAAAGAGGCTTGGAGGGGTGACACAGAGGGACAACAGGAGTGTGCAGGAGGCTCCACAGATAGCCCTGCCCCTCCACGGCAGCCGTGACTGTGAAGTGAACCAGTGGAAGCTGAGACGCCAGGACTGTGGCAACTAAAGCTAAAGTGCGCCACACTTCACCAATTGTCCTGCTGTGAATCCCGAGGTGGGTTTGATGGGAAGACAACATCCGCCTTCTACATCCAAGGTCCCTAGTGCCTGTCAGAAGAAAATCCACTGCCTTTCATGAGTATATAAAATGCACTGCTGTGCAAAGAAACTATGCCCAAAACCCAAGTTTTAGTCACCGCAGTGGCTTTCACAGGAGTGAAGAGCTGTCACTGACCATGCCCCGCTGCACCAGGAAGACCTCTGGCTAAGCTTCTGGTCAAAACGCTTGTGTGTCGTGGCCACCTTGACCAGAAGGCCATCAGCGAGGGTGAATGTGTCTGCACTTGTTCCCAGAGTTTTGGGAAAGAACAGCCTCTAAAAACAGAGTCAAGTCTTTCTTTGTTAGCCTCCAGGGATTTGCTTTGAGAATAATCTGTGAAACAGGACAGATAGCCAGAAATGAGGTTTTAAAGAATTAATAATTTTTCAAACTTTCGCCAAAACAGAACTTGGAAAGTTTATTCTATCTGCAATTTTTAAATAATAATAAACATTCCATCCCAATCACTACAGACTTATTCAATTAACTATTTCCAGATGGCATCTTTTATTTTGTTAAGACAGAATCTTAAAAGGCAAAACAACAAGACAGAAAGCCCATCTGATGTTTTCTCTCTGCAATGCTGCTGAAGTCTCTGAGCCTGGCCAGCAGACTCTAGAGAAGGCAGGTTCTGTGCTCCAGATGGGCCTTAAGGAAACAATCATGACACAACTGATTACCAGGAGCCTCGTTCCTGCAGCTGACCGCAACTATTCCTGCCATCGAACCATTTGACGACTACGAAGAGTTTGGTAAACTTGCTGGGAATGTTGCTAAAAAGTGTTTTCTGCATAACTGAGTTTCTAAGATTCTATCCCTACAGCTTAACAAAGAATTCTAAACTTCAAGGCCAAACGTGCAGGCCAAAGAGAAGAAGGCCTAAGTGATGAACACTAAACTAATCAAAGGGTCCTTGCATGGTGAGACAAGGCAAAGACGGCAAATCCTCAAGCGTGTACCTCCCTGACTGTTCACACCTCTGTCCCTTACTACAGTGAGATGCTATCTCAGGTGCATTAAATTTTAACCTTTATTGATCTGAAGCTGAAAAATATAAATCATGCCTGAAGAAAGTCACAAATACTCTTAGGAGGCCAAATGTTTAAAAAAACACTCTTTTTTTTTTTTTTTGAGACAGAGTCTCACTTTGTTATCCAGGCTAGAGTGATGCCGTGGCGTCAGCCTAGCTCACAGCAACCCTCAAACTCCTGGCTCGAGTAATCCTTCTGCCTCAGCCTCCCGAGTAGCTGGACTACAGGCATGTGCCACTATGCCCGGCTATTTAATATATATACTAATATCAGTTGGCCAATTAATTTCTTTCTGTTTATTAGAGACGGTCTCGCTCTTCTCAGGCTGGTTTTGAACTCCTGACCTTGAGCAATCCGCCGCCTCGGCCTCCCAAGAGCTAGGATTACAGGCGTGAGCCACAGCGCCCGGCCAAAAAATAACACTCTTTAGCAATAAAATGCCATGAAATATGAAGGAAACAAAACTTTTAAAATATTCATCCTAATACCAGTTTTTTGTTTTCTTGTGGGCTTTATTTTTGGCTTGTTTTTGTTTGTTTTAATACACACGGTCTGTATTAACAAATCCAACAACCTTTATATAAAAATTAAAATACACGCACTGAATCTGACTGCCATCAGAAGAGAATGCTAACATCAGTACAATTTTTTTTTTTTTTTTGAGACAGAGTCTCGCTTTGTTGCCCAGGCTAGAGTGAGTGCCATGGCATCAGCCTAGCTCACAGCAACCTCAAACTCCTGGCTCAAGCAATCCTTCTGCCTCACCCCCCAAGTAGCTGGGACTACAGGCATGTGCCACCATGCCTGGCTGATTTTTTTTATATATTAGTTGGCCAATTAATTTCTTTCTATTTATAGTAGAGATGGAGTCTCGCTCTTGCTCAGGCTGGTTTTGAACTCCTGACCTCGAGCAATCCACCCGCCTGGGCCTCCCAGAGTGCTAGGATTGCAGGCATGAGCCACCGCGCCCAGCCTACAATTTTTTTTTAAAGCGCTATAAAAACATATAAATAAAGTGAGCTGCATCCAAGAGAGCCCATGGCTTCCCGGGCCCACGTGGTAGCCTGGCCTGCTCCCGTGCACAGAGTGACCTTCCCATAGAGAACAGCCGAGAGTGCTGGCCAAAGACACAAACATCTACAGGCACGTGAAACATGCAGACAGCAACTGGAGGGGGGTCCACACCTGGGAGACAAGAGGCCTGGGCAAGTCTGTTTCCATGGTGCTTTTCCTGAGTGTGGGCTCACCCATGACTCCCACGGGGCCAAACCCCAGACAGAAGACCGGAAGCCAACAGTCTCCGAGAGCCTGTGGACAGAATTCTGGGCAACCACAGGCAGAAAGGGAAAAGATAAACCCTAGAAAGAAGAAAGCCACAGAAGGGGAACCCTAAATAACACAGACGCTGCCCAATGGACACTGGAAAGTCACAGGCAGAGAGGGCAGGCCCCACACAGCCTGGCCATGCTGCAAGTGCAAAACAAGACTGCTGCCCACAAAGGATGGCCTCGTAAAACCAAACGTTGGCATCTCAGGAGAGTGCAACAAAGCCCAAAGTCCTTGCAACATTACATGTATCATATCCAGGATACAATTTGAAACTGCTGCACGGATAAGAAATAACAAAGTATCACCCAGATTCAAAAGAAAAGATCCACAAGGACCAACTTCGAGAAGATTAGATGCTGGATAGCAGACACAAATTTAAAAGACAGCTATTATAACTCTGCTCATAGATTACAAAGGAAACCTCAGCAGGAAAATGAAAACTGTTTTTAAATAAAAGCAAACAGAAATTCTAAAACTGAAAAAAAGAGCATGTGGCATAAAAACATCCGAATAGGCCTTAACAGTCTGTCTGAGTCTGGGTGGAAGTAAAATGAACAGACCTTGACTGAGTGAGAGGAGCGAAGCCCAGTCACGTATGTCCTGGAGCACGGGACAGGGCATCTCAGGACATAGGCTGTGCTTGGAGACATGACCTAAAATTCCCCAAATTTGGTGAAAGACAAAACTTACAGATTCAAGATGCCAAAGCACAATAAATACAAAGAAAATCAAAGCTCAGCACATCACAAACTGCCAAAAGCCAAAGACAAACCTTTACAGACTGCTCAAGAAAAAAACCACAGTCAACACACAATTCTGTGCACACATGGGAAATACCCGTCAAGAATAAAGGCAGAATAGACAGTGTGAGGTAGACTCCTCGCCAGCAGACCCACACTGCCTGCGAGGAGTCCCTCAGGCTGACGGGACACCGGAGAGAACACACGTGTGCAGGAGGAATGAAGAGCTGGACACGGCCAGTACTTGAGCCAGGTGTGAAAAAGGACACAAGTCCATTCAAATCTCTGGACTACTTGATTTATTTTTTTTTAATATTGCATATATGTTTATTTTATTTATTTATTTTTATTTCAGCAATATTACGGGGGTATAAATGTTCAGGTTACATATATTGCCTTTGCCCCGCCCTAGTCAGAGCTTCAAGTGTGTCCATCCTCCAGATGATGCACATCACACCCATTAGGTGTAAAATTACCCATCCCCTCCGCGCCTCCCACCTGCCCAACACCCGATGAATGTTATTCCTATATGTCCACTTAAGTGTTGGTCAATTAATACCAATTTGATGGTGAGTACATGTGGTGCTTATTTTTCCATTCTTGTGATACTTCACTTAGTAGAATGGGCTCCAGCTCCATCCAGGATAATACAAGAGGTGCTAGATCACCACTGTTTTTTGTGGCTGAGTAGAACTCCATGGTGTACATACACTACATTTTATTAATCCACTCATGTATCGATGGGCACTTGGGTTGTCTCCACATCTTTGCAATTGTAAATTGTGCTGCTATAAACATTCGAGTGCAGATGTCTTTTTTATAGAATATCTTTTGTTTCTTTGGGTAGATGCCCAGTAATGGGATTGCTGGGTCAAATGGTAGATCTACTTATAGCTCTTTGAGGTATCTCCATATTGCTTTCCACAGAGGTTGTACTAGTTTGCAGTCTCATGGACTATTTGATTTCTTAAAAATGTTTAAGGAAACAATGTAACAATGCATCCTGAGGGCCAGGTGTAATACCTATGGAAGCCATGTCAACAGGTCTCTGTGGCTGTGAGATTCGTAGATTTGGTATGAACTGGAACAACTTTAACTAAGTGGACCCTGAAACATGAACACGCACCCCAAGCACACCACTAAAATATAACACGACGGTGTACCTAAAAAGCCAACAGGTAAACTAAAACAGATTCTGAACATAATCAAGTAACCCGAAAGAAGGCAGGAGAGGAGGAACAGAAGGACAGAGAGTGGAGGGCAAAGTCACAGCCAAGTCCAATGGCACAACCACGTGTGAAACAGCTATGAGCCACACGGCATTCGAAAGGCAGAGCACTGCAGGGCAGACAGAAACCAGGACTCAATCACATGCTGCCTATGGGAGACTCCTAACAAAGGCAGGGTTAACCTGAAAGTAAATGGATGGGGAACAAATACCCCACGCAAAGAGTAAAGCACACTAAGGCTAGCTTAGCTGCGCCAGCACAAAAGTAGACTTTATAATGCAGAGTGCCACAGCAGAGGCGTCAATCCATCTAGAAAGTATGGCCGTGGTCAGTGTGTGCGCCCTGACTGAAAAGCTCAAACACACGAAGCACATACTGACAGAATTAAAGGGAGAAATAAGTACATTAACAGCCCTTCCTCGTAATTCACACAAAGAAAAGATTTGAACACGTCAGAATCCTGCTCTGATTAACACACAGAGGACACCGTGCCCAACGACAACAGAGCACACGTTATCTCCATGTGCATGTGGTGTGGACATGATGACGGACCACTGACCCCCTTAAAAGCAAGCCTCAAACACAGAAACGAAATGATATAGAATGCATTCTCTAAACACAATGCCATTTAATCAGAAATCGACAGTAAGTTAACTAAGAGAACCAAAGATATTTGAAAATTAAACAGCATACTTCTAAATAACCCATAAATCAAACAATCACTAAAGTATTAAAATTTTTCGTATTGAATGATAATTAAAATGCAATTTATCAAAATTTGCAGGATGCAGCTAAAGCCATCCATTGAGGTAAATTTAAAACTTTAAGTGTTTATAATAAAAAAAAAAATGACAGGTATAAAACCAGTGGCCAAAGGTTTTACCTTAAGAAACAACCCCAAAGTAAGCAAAAGGCAGAAAATGAGGCAGAACAGAAATCAATGAAAATAGGCAGCATATTTTTAAAAGGACAAGTGGTATACTCTCATCTGGCCAAAGTTAACTTACTTAACAGACTGCTCAGTGGGTGTCTGTCAGAACTATTACTGTGTACCCCATTCATCACAATAGTTTTCTCTGGTTGCATGGGAAATAGATGAGCCCAGCAGAGTGTGACCAAAACAGTACTAAGGGAAGAACCTTGGCCGGGCGCGGTGGCTCACGCCTGTAATCCTAGCACTTTGGGAGGCCGAGGCAGGCGGATTGCTCAAGGTCAGGAGTTCGAAACCAGCCTGAGCGAGACCCCATCTCTACCAAAAATAGAAAGAAATTAATTGACCAACTAAAAATATATATACAAAAAATTAGCAGGGCATGGTGGTGCATGCCTGTAGTCCCAGCTACTCGGGAGGCTGAGGCAGGAGGATCGCTTGAGCCCAGGAGATTGAGGTTGCTGTGAGCGAGGCTGACGCCATGGCACTCACTCTAGCCTGGGCAACAGAGTGAGACTCTGTCTCAAAAAAAAAAAAAAAAAAAAAAGGTAGAACCTTTAAGAACAGAGAATGCTGCCACAGGGGTACAATACTAGGATAGGAACTTGTGTTTCAGAAACATTGTGTCTCTAGTTAGAAACAGTGTTGTAAGTAAATGAAATCCTGGCAAAGTAATACTCTGCCCAATGTTTAAAGCTTGCCATGCTCAAAAGCACTTAAATCACCACAGGACTGTCTTCTGCCTCCTTGGAAACAAGAGTGCTGGTGGAAAAATCCGTGTATGTATGCATGCATACATGTGCACATGGGCACACATGCGTCTGGATTAGGAAACTCTTACAGAAAAGGGGTGCTCAGGATGGAGGGTGGTTTAAAACAAGTAACAGATTGAACTATGTCACATTAAGGTGAAAAAGACAGTGGCTGCCAACTATTAAGGGAGTGAACAGAGTAGCCGGAGTCTTTGAAAACGGGAGGTCACGCTAACTGAAACCCACAGGTTTCTTACTGGTACTGGTGAAGGTAAACAGCCTGCATCACTTGAAGGTTAATGACAGCCCGTACCTGTATGTCCCGCCAGCTCACGACTCACGCGGACATTCCCTTCACGAGTTTTCAGATTATAAATGGAGCAAATGTTGTCCAGCCCACCGCAGGCCACGTAGTTCCCAGAAGGAGCATATGCACAGGTCATGACCCAGGAGGAGCGCAGAGGGATGGCGTGGACCTAAAGGCCAGGGACAGACAATGCAGACACTTCTGAGTTCGAAAACACTGACATTGACACTAGGACTGTATTTTTAGTCTTCAACTTCCACTGTATAGAAAGTGATAGAGCAAAAGAGCTAGCAAGTAATGCACATGTGTGGCCAATCAGACGAAGCAACGACTTAATTAGAAACCCAGCGCTGCACACGGAGGCACGGATCAACACACAGTTTTGTTAAAGTCACAATCTGCAGTGCGGTGGTCACTTAAGAAACAGCATTACTGCCTCCTGCTCTAAACTACATATTACAAGGAAATACTTCATTAGCCTGCCAGATGGCTAAAAATTCACTTAAAAAACAAAAACAAAATAGTTTTACTGAATAACCACACTGGACACTATAACTAGCTACCACACCCTTCTCAGTGCTTTAGGTGTATTATAATTAGTGCAACCTTTCATACATTAGTAGTATTCTTTAGTAAAATCTATCATAATACTTTTTTATTCAATACAATTTTGGATTAAATTTTAAAAGAATTTAAACTTCAAAGTATAATGCCTTCTAGATTATCTCTCTAGAAAACTAATAACTAAGTGAAAAGCTCTATTTCTGTGTTATATATACATTAAAAAAAAAAAAAAGAAACTTCCCAGACTGAGCAAAAACTGGAAGCCAGGCCTCTTAGAATGTCAGGAGGCACTCACCTCACACCTGGCTGGCAGGGAGATGACACCATGGCACGAGTGTGCAGGTTGCACAGCAGAGACCAGGACGCGCACCTGCACGCGACTCGGCTCCTGCCTCAGCCACACCTCCCCGCCCCATATTACGTGAGCTAACAAAAATGAACCCAGAGCTAAAAACCTCGCTGTTTCCTGGGCTAGTTTTCCAGGGAAAGGAATTTCCTGGGCCCTACCTTGTTTGTGGTGTAGCTGTCCCAGATGATAAGTTTACCATCCTGCGAGGCACTGACAAGAAGCCTGGAGTGAAAAAACAAAATCAAACACATTAGTCCCACCTTGCACAGAAATCCTACAAAGGCAACAAACAAAAACTAAGACTCTGGCGACTTCTAACATGTGTTTCAACACTGTATCTGCTTGAGATAAAGCACACTTACTTATAAGCAAAAATTTAAAACAGTTCTAAATGCTAGACCGGTCCTGGAAGCACAATGACAGCTGGGAGTGGAAAGTGTGCGGCTCCTGATGCAGCCAGGTCGCCACGTCTGCTCCCTGTCAGCCAAGACAGGCCAACGTCCTCTCGTAATTGCTTCTGCTTGGTTTCCCGTTATTACAAATCAAATCAGAGACGTGCAGATCTTTCAAGAGCCAATGGTAGTACAAAATATTCAGTATACAATTTTTTGTTCCATTCTGACCCAGAGAAAGCCTGGATATAACGGAATAAATAAGCTTCTCGACATTCCAAATTCATGAAATGTTTCTCGCCCAAAAAACCCCATGAAATTTTCCAGACCGGGCTACAAATGGGACGTAGGTCTCCTTCCACCTCCTAGTCAGGTGGTGACAAATGATAGCACAACTGTGCCGCCACAGCAGCAGGGACCGGGAACTGTCAGGAATTGTTCCATGACTATTTCCTTGCTCTTTCAACTTGCTGCGTTTGGGATCTGTGTGTTGAAAATGAGCTCTGCCTACACTTGCAGAATTAAGACAGGATATCACAAAGGAAAAGTATTACGAACAAGGGGCAAAGAAACTTTATGTTATTTAGAAAGTAAGCCGGACAAGAGCAGATCCAGGAAACCACAGCGACGAGATGCTCCACAGAAACCTGTCCTACAGAATGTGCTCTTCCCAAGAGTGCAAGGGAGCTTCCACTCACAATTCTATGTGGAGATTTCTGTCAGTACGGTAAATGACAAAGATTTTTAATTTTAAGGATTTTATCAAACACAGGTTTTAACCATTTCGGCTGCATGCATATTTCGCTTCTTAAAGCTAATCAAAACTTCCTTTGAAGGTGCGAGTTTGACAAGGAATAAAACCTTTTCAGAAGCACCCCGTTACAAAACTTATCACACAGCTGGACATAAGTGCAAGATGCAGTCCTATTTTATTTTTTCTGGATGCAATTCTTAAAGCAAATTCCTTCATCCAGGTTCAGTCATCAACATGCGAGGCAGTTAAAAACTATCTCTGCACTGTGGTGTAAGGTTCCCTCTGCTGCCCTACTTCTGCCTGGCCCTTCTGAAACTATGAGTGCAGCGTCAGAGCTGATCAAAAGCAGCTTACCCTCCCAGGTCAGGAGGGTCACCTTCAGAGAGGTCGCCCGGTCAGACAGCTTAATAACTGCTGACGCGCCGAGGGCTGAGGGAAACGTTAAGCTGCCCACTGATCCTCTAGAAGGTGAGAGAAGACATGCGTCCTAATCCCATCAGGGAACTGCTGGAGGACGGGGTTCCCCGGCCTCCTCGAGGCTTCACCCACCACAGATCAGCGACCTGAGGTGCTACCACCCAAGACACAGAGGCAGGAGCTGGGAAGCAAGCCCCAGGGCTCTAGGACACTGAAAGCAGCAAAGTTCAAACACCTAACGCCCTTTCTTTCCCTCAAAGGAGGGAGGGCTCTCAAGCCTAGTCCGGCTTAGCTGTGTTTCACTCTAAATCGTAAGAAGGGAAGAGAAAGGGAAGAGAAAATTTAGCATTAATCCATGTGATTGAAAGAGAACCTCAAATTTTATCAAAGGTCAAACTTTAGTGTAAATAAATATATGCTGATAAACATATTACAAATATATACATATTATACATTAACTCATGCACATATACAAGCCACTCATTGCGGGGCTCTCTTACAGTTCTGAAAGACAAACCTGTTAGTCACTGCCAACAGGCTGAGTGTCTGTGAATCAAACAAGCACAGTAAAATAACTGGTAGTTATAAGTTACAGCTCTGAGTCGTGAAAAAAATCTTGTGCAATAACCTTTGTTTATGAAGCCAGGAAATAAGGTGATTAGGGAAAAATCTTTTTTTTAGACAGTCTTGCTTTGTTGCCCAGGCTACAGTGAGTGCGGTGGCATCAGCCTAGCTTGCAGCAACCTCAAACTCCTGGGCTCAAGCAATCCTTCTGCCTCAGCCTCCTGAGTGGCTGGGACTACAGGCATGCACCACCATGCCCTACTAATGTTTTCTCTATATATTAGTTGGCCAATTACTTTCTTTCTATTTATAGTAGAGACAGGGTCTCGCTCTTGCTCAGGCTGGTTTTGAACTCCTGACCTCGAGCAATCCACCCACCTCTGCCTCCCAGAGTGCTAGGATTACAGGCGTGAGCCACCGTGCCCAGCCAGGGAAAAATCTTTAAAAAAAAAAAAAAAAAAAAACTACTTTGGACTTAAAGAGGCAACCAGTGGCCTATCTAGAAAACATAGCTATCCAGAACAGAAAAAAAAAATCCCTAAAAGGTTCTGGATAGCACAAGCCCCACTCAGTATCATTTGCTGGTTTTCTCTTGCAATTATGCAACTATAAGACAGATGACATGCACCTAGCACCTTAAGAATGAGTGCAGACCAACAACACCCACCAGCCTCCCAGAGGGCGACTCTCCCCCACTCCCTGGGGTGGCCACGTGTGCACTTGGTCCTGCTTCTTCAGCCCTTGCTTTTCTCCCTTCTAACGCTGGGCTTCGAGTTAGGATTCATGTCTGAGACCAGATGTAACATAAAGCCTCTCGAACAGAGACTTGGGGCCCAGCTCCACCGCCCGGGTGACACGCCATCTCTTAGGGCCACCACACCATGTTAGGGCCTTGCACACACCTACCCAGCTCACACTCACCCTTTCAAGGCTACTCGGGCTAGAGCCCAGCTGTTAAAGGAGAGCACATTCCTTTGGGCACCAAGACCAGACTTCTAGCGCTGTACTCTGCGTGCTGGGCTCCTGACACAGCCCAATCTCATGTCCTGCCTGTGCAGGACATCGATATTCCCACAGATGGAGCAAAGGCCCCAGACGTAGCATACTGTCTGTCTACCATCTACTTTTTATAGTAAACCCTAAGGTGGATTGATCAGTAAGAATATTTTCTGCTTTTCTTTCTTGTTTTTTATTTTACAATTTTTAAAGGGATAATTCTGAAACATTTGCTCATATTATTTATTTTTGATTTAAAAATCATTATATGTTTATGGAGTAAAATGTGATGTTTTGATATGTATTTACACTGTGAAATGATAAAATCAAGCTAATTAACATATCCATCATTCCACATATTTATCTGTTGTGGTGGCAACATTTAAAATCTACTTTTAATCAACTTTAATCTACTTTAAATCAACATTTAAAATCTACTCTGCTAACAATTTTGAGACATACTTTATTATTTTAAACTGTGGTCCCTCGCTGTGCAACAGACTTCTAAAACTTATTCTTCCTGTCTAACTGAAACTTTATACCCTCAGGACAACATCTCCCTCCCCTCCCCTCCCCCATTCCTTTATTCTGACTACAGCCACCATTAAAATAATCATGCTAGCTCTCATTTGCATAGGGAATTGTATGGGATACTACATAGAACAAACTAAAGATAGACTCTTTTGTTCTCTAGCTGTTTATGCTCTAAAGCAGATAATTTCAGGAACAAAAAGAAAGCCAAGCAGAAAATTCCACTCTGACAATTGAATACAAAAAAAACACAAAAAACTACTACTCAAAGAAAGGCGTGTTAAGAGTCACGTCGGGTCCCTAAAAGGGCATGTCATAGCTATACTAATCGAATAGCACTTTATTGAATTATCTGTATGGAAAAGGCAGAAGACAGACCTTTTAGTAGCATCTTAAAGAAGAGGAGAAGAGAGAGACATTTTACTCCATCAGTGGCTAGAGGGCAAGGCACATGGCCCACCCAGGGCGTGGGTGAGAGAAGGACAGAGGGCGTGGGGTGACAGGTGAGATGGCCACGGGAGGAGTAAGGGGGAGAATTTAAAGTACAAAAAACGAAAACCCACAAAGGGAACCGCCTATGAGAGCAGCTCACAGGAGCATTTCTGTGTCTGCGGAAACCAACGGCACACGCGTGCACGGCCCCTGGGCCCAAGCTTCTGTTCGAAGGTGCAACAGGCTTCATCCTCCAGTACCCCTCACAAAGCAGGTTTTGTGTTCCTCTGTGCCAGGGCACTGAGATCCTGAGAGGGTGTGGGCCAGGAAGCCATAGAACAGGCTGAGAGGTCAAGGAACCAGGGCGCAGAGGCTAGAACACATCCCACAGCCACGTAAGTATGCAGTGGAGCTGGGAGAACAAAGGTCTAGAAACTGAAAGAAAGCTGAGGGGGGAGAAAGAAGAAAATCAAGCTAACATGACTTGGGTGGTGAGGAAATAACACTGTGCAATTAGCCCAGGGAAGTGGAAATTTGGGCAGGGAATACAGATCTGTGAATCCTAAATTCTTTCTTTACAAATCACAGCAAGTGAGTGCAAGTTACTTTCTCCTAGAAGAATGAAGCAATCTTTGACTCCATACCTGGAATCCGTGCCCCAGTGCATGGCATAGATCTTGGCCAGGTGCCCCCGCAGCGTTCTCCTAGTGCGCATCTGGATTCTTCCCACGGGGTCGATGTTGTTTGTGATCTTGAAGACAAAAACGTGACTACGAATCAACCTCTGTGATGGAATCCCCTCCTCCCCCGACTGCTGTGGTTGCTGGCTCCCCCACCCCGACCCCTGGCTCCAGTCTTCAGTGGCTTTCATCATGGTGTCCCAACCCTTCCCATGACTCTCAGCGAGCCTCACGCTCTGGCTGGTCTTCAGGACACGGTTTCCACTCCCTGCCAACATGCGTGTGTGCACACTTCCAGCCTCGATGAGCTAGCTTTGCCCTTCCTCCTCCTCGCTCTCACTGTCCACCCAGGACCGGCTCCTCCAGGGCCTCTCAGTCCTTATGGGCCACTCTCCTTCAAGCCACCACACAGATGTTGTACATTTCAACCAAATAAACGCTTGCAGTATTACGCCATGTGTGGGCCTGGACAAGAGTCAGCGCCTGCCTCTGCATAGCAATGCCTGTGGACACCGGCAGACCCCACCCCCTGCACACACCAATACTGATGATATCAGGGTGGCAAATGGACTGGGTGCACCATGACAATGGGCTTTTAAGAAATGGCCATCCAAAGGCCATCTAAGAATTGAAATTAGGTAGTTCTATGTAGTACAATTTTCTTCTTTAATGTACTGTTTAACCTCAATTAAACTGCACCAACTAAAGCATTTGGACAATGTAAAAAATTTAATCATCCTTAGAAGTATGAATGTAATTTTTCTTTCACATTTCTGTCCAATTCTTTGGACTTTTATTTTTTTAATAAGGTAAACTTCACACAACATGAAATTAACCATTTTAAAGTATATAATCAAGTGGCTTTTAGCACATTGAATGTTGTGCAAACCACTATTTAGTTCCAAAACATTTTCATCGCCCCAAAAGGAAACCCCCCACCCATAAGCAGTCACTTCCTATTCCTCCCTCCCTCAGCCTCTAGCAAGTGCGACACGCTCTGTCTGTGAATGCTGCTATTCCAGCCATTTCACACACAAAGAGTCGTCATATGACACTCGGCCACTGTCTGGCTTCTTCCACTTATGGCAGCGTGTGGTTGAGCCCCATGGCAGCCAGAGTCAGTGCCACCTTCCTCCAGCGCACACACGGGCCACACACTGCATTTGCTTGCTCGTCTGTAAACGGGCTTTGGGTGCTGCTACCTTCTGGCTACTGTGAATGGTGCTGCTATGAACATGTGTATACATGTATTTGTCTGAAAATCAGTTTTCAGTTCTTTTGGGTGGGATGGGTAGGGATCTAGTCGCAGTGGAACTGCTGGGTCACAGTCATTCTAAGTTTTAACTTCCTGAGGAATTGCCAGACTGGATACAGAAGTCAAGGTTCTGAGGCAGAGCTGCTAAGGAGAGGATGTTCACAGTACTTACTATAAGACATCAACAATACTGCCTCCATAAGTAGTAAATACAACTACTGCCTCCATAAGTAGTAAATATTTAAGGCTTAAGATATTGTTTTTCATCTTAAAAAAAAAATCCCCCACTACTTCTTATGCTTCTAGTCAGAATAATTTCTGAATGAAAATGCTCCCACAGCAGTGGACGTCCCCACTGGGGCACACACAGGGCAGAGTGTGGAGGCTCCAGGTAGAGGCCCCACACACACCAGCCTCTGCTCCATGTTAGACTGGCCCTTACCTGGGAGAGGGTTGCATCTGCACACGCTTTTCTAGCATCCTAGGAAGTAACAACAAAGACAAATTAGTAATGTTGCAAACACATTAGATCTTAGATCTGCACCAACCAAAGTTTCAGAGAGCCTCCATAAATTGTTACAAGCAAAAGTAGAGTGTTGGCCAGGCTTGGGGGCTCACGCCTGTAATACCAGCACTCTGGGAGGCCGAGGTGGGAGGATCACTTGAGCTCAGGAGTTCCAGACTAGCCTGAGCAAGAGCGAGACCCCATCTCTACTATAAATAGAAAGAAATTAATTGGCCAACTAAAAATATATATACAAAAAATTAGCCGGGCATGGTGGCACATGCCTGTGGTCCCAGCTACTTGGGAGGCTGAGGCAGGAAGATCACTTGAGCCAAGGAGTTTCAGGTTGCTGTGAGCTAGGCTGATGCCACGCACTCACTCTAGCCCGGGCAACAAGGCGAGACACTGTCTCAAAAAAAAAAAAAAAAAAAAAAACAATCTACTGAAGCAGGTAAGAACTATGAAGGGATATGCCAATGCTAATTAAAATGTTTTCATTACTACTAAGTGATCAAAGTTACTAGAAAATAAATACTGAAATCTCAAATTAGCTCATATTTTTATAAATAGACATACATCACAAAGGAAAATGAGACAGTAGCTTTAAAAGGTTCAGCATTTGACTACAGGCATAATTTCAAAAGAACTCATGACAGTTCCTAATAACAAAAATGTTAACATTATGCTGTCGTCTGAACACCTGCTTTCAAAATGGCAACAGGCTGCTCGGAGCCTTTACACATGTCCCGTGTGTCCCCCATAAGATGGTCCCAGGAGATCAGGCTTTAGGGTGAAGTGCCTCACTGTACATGATAACTATTTAGCTGGGCACGGTGGCTCACGCCTGTAATCCCTGCACTCTGGGAGGCCAGAGCAGGAGGATCACTTGAGGCCAAGAGTTCAGGACCAGCCTGAGAACGAACGAGACCCCATCTCTACCAAAAAATAGGAAAAAAAAAAAGATAACTATTTTATAAAGCTGAGGCGGGAATATTTATAAAACGATAGTATGAAAATACACTGAGATTATAAATATACCAAATCTCTAGATTCTAAATTCATCTTCAATTAAGCTATTATCATTCTGCTTATAATTATGTAAGTATTTCTACACCAGCAATAAAATCAGGAGTAAGGGGGGGTGGGGATGAGTAGCAGGTGTTTTTGTCAATGATTTTCACCTGCTCAGTACTGACTTTTTTTTTGAGACATAGTGAGACCTTGTCTCCCACAAAACACTTTTAAAATTAGCCAGGCACAGTGATGCGACCTGTAGTCCCAGCTGCTCAGGAGGATTGCTTAAGCCCAGGAGCTTGAGATTGCCGTGAACTAGGCTGACGCCACGACACTCACTCTAGCCTGGGCAACAAAGTGATCACAATGAGCTACTATCATGCCACAGCACTCCAGCCTAGGTGATAGAGTGAGACCATCCTCTTTAAAAACAACAATAACAAAACTGCACCTGTCCACTTTGTCATTTTGTGGAGTTTTCCTTACTCCATCAGCTGGTCTGTGTATTTTAAGGCATGCCATGTTTCAATCAGCAGCCCATTCAATACTGTCAGCTTCCTGTGATGCTCTGAAGAACAGCTAAACCTTGACAGGTGAAAACAAGTATCAGAGAAAGCTTGTTCATCAAATGGACTAAACCTATAAACATAGAAGACTTTGGGCTTTTTCTGATGAGTCCACTCCTTTCTCACTCTTCATATGAAATCAACAGTTTAAGAACAGAAACATGTACTAAAAGTTTCTCTATAAGACATTTATTTTATAAAAGCACTGCCTTCATGAAAGTTAAGGGAACAGAAATAATTCCTTGTAGACCTACTACTCCTACCTTTTTAAAAAGCTCATGGAGTCTGCAATTTACCACTGTGTATCTGTTGTAGATTAGAACTTAATGTTTTAGAATTCTGTGAAAGATAGTCTTTGTACAGTGCGATTAATTATACACAGTTGTTTGTATCTTCAATCAGATATATCTGCTCTATCTAGTTAGTCTCCCAAAAGGAGTAGATTCCAGGCATCATCCCTAGGGAACACCATTTTAAAATTAAGAAAAAATACATCAGGCACACATAAAATACTTTTTGACTATTATTGGTTTCTTTTTTTTCTTTTTTTTTTTTTTTTTGAGACATACATAGTCTTGCTCTGTCACCCCAGGTAGAGTACAGTGGTATCATCATAGCTCACTACAGCCTCCAACTCCTGGGCTCAAACGATCCTCCTTCCTCAGCCTCCTGAGTAGCCAGGTCTACAGACATGCACCACCCCACTCGGCTAATTTCTTTCTATTTTCAGTAGACACAGGGTCTTGCTTTTGCTCAGGCTGGTCTCGAACTCCTGACCTCAAGCGATCCTCCCACCCGGGCCTCCCAGAGTATTAGGATTATAGGCATGAGCCCCCACACCCAGCCCTATTATTGTTAATATCCTAATTTTTAAAATAAGTTTTCTGCCCCCAACTTAATAGTCCCAATATTCAGGGGAAGAAAGCAGATACAACAGTCTGATATAGTGGCCAAGAGTATCACAAAGCTAATTCCCAAAGTTAAGATAAAGAGTTCAAAAAGACATCTATGAATTCTATGGAGCCATTTTATGTACACTCAAATAACAAATTATAATATGTGGAAAACAAAATCCTGAAAAGAGTATATACCAGGCCAAGTATCTGAATCTGTAATTAGTATATACTGGGTCAACTAAGATTTAATTTCAATCTAAAACACTGAATAAGTCATTCTGTACTATCTTTCCTAAATCAGACAACATTTGACCTGAAACCCAAATGATTAATAAAACAAAACAGAAAAGGAAAGGAAAAAATGGCCAAGCGCAACAGCTCAAGCCTGCAAACCCAGCACTTCAGGAAGTGGAGGACTGCTCAAGGCCAATGCAGGACCAGCCTTGGAAACGCAGGGAGACCGTGTCTCTACAAAAAATAAAAATGAGAAAAAAACTCAAAATGAAACACATATACAGCTACATACTCTAATTTGGTTTTTAAGTTGTTCGGCCTCCTGCCGTAATTGGTCAAGTTCACTCATCTTCTGATCTTAGTGCTCTTCAATTCCACCTCCAAGAACTGAGATCTGGAAAGAAAAAAACCACAGGCACAAAATTTAGTATATTGTTGAGTCATTCAACAAAGCAGATGAGAGAAGTAAATTGAAAATTTGACAGCTATGGTTTCATTATACATCAACACTTTTCTTTAGCATTCATTACAACATATAAAATGTCTACCTAGGGCCAGGTCCATAAAACATAATCACAATCATTTACTGGCTTTGTATAATATGACAATGTCTGATATAGTACTGAAATGTGGTAGATTAATAAAAAGAAAAATCTGGCCATGCACAGTGGTTCACACCTGTATCCCTAGCACTTTGGGAAGCCGGAATGGAAGGATCACTTGAGGCTAGGAGTTTGAGACCAGCCTGAGCAACAGTGCTAGGCCCTGTTTCTACAAAAAAAAAATAGAAAAGTGAGCGGGATGTGCTGGTGCATGCCTATAGTCCCAGCAAGAAGATCGCTTGAGCCCAGGAGTTTGAGAGGTTGCAGTGAGCTATGAGGACACCACTGTGCTCTAGCCTGGGCAACAGAGAAAGATCTCGTTCTCTGAAAAAAAGAAAGAAAAATCCAGACGGGTGAGGTGGCTCATGCCTGTACTCCCACCATTTTGGAAGGCCAAGGTGGAAGGACTGCTTGATTCCAAAATTAGAGAACATCCTGGACACTACAGCAAGACTCCAACTCTACAAAAAAAAAAGGGGGGGGGGGATCTGTTAAGCAGCATTTTTCATGAAAGAATCTGGCTCTCCCTACAAACCCAAGAACAGATTGACTTTAGAATAGCTACTACGCAAAAACGCAGAGGTAGTTACTCCAGGAAACGGAGACAGTGACAGTGGGCAACCCATCCTCTCAAAGCCTGCTAGTGACCATGACCCAGGACTGGTCCAAAGATGTCACAATGATCACACTGCAATCCTAAAAGCCCATGGGTGGTATCCAGTAGCTGGGTTCATGTACAACCTGCTCTCACACCAAAATAGGCCCTGGGATCCCAGCAGGCTCAGAAACAACACCTTGATCCTCACAGGGATGGGCTAAATCAGGCTCTGTGCAAGCCTCCTGCACCCACCTAAGTCACAGCAGACAGGGCTCCTGACATCAGCGTCACAGTGAAATCACCCTGCTCAACAAGAGACTCACTTTCCAAAGCTAGTGTCATACATAGACTTTGCATTTCTAACCAAGATCTTAGCTGTTAATCGTAAATATGACCAAAGTATCACAAAGCTGACAATACAATTACTGACAATTTAAATCACTTCCATTATCATGACTTTGTGTAAAAGTCATAGGGTTAACATAATATGCATCAAAATTCAATTGATAGTTGTGTATTTTCTTAACCCATCGAGGGGAATTATCTGCACAGCCCAAAAAGCTTAGTTGGTAAAATTCCTATACTTCCTGTTCTGCACAAAAGCATTCAAAACTCATCATGACATGACCTAATTATAGACATGATATATATTTATTAATGACAACAAAAGAATCTCTCGCCATAAGAAGCATATTTTAAAAGTGTGAGTTCCTGGCCAGGCACGGTGGCTCACGCCTGTAATCCTAGCACTCTGGGAGGCCGAGGTGGGTGGATTGCTTGAGGTCAGGAGTTCGAAACCAGCCTGAGCAAGAGCAAGACCCCATCTCTACTATAAATAGAAAGAAATTAATTGGCCAATTAATATATAGAGAAAAAATTAGCTGGGCATGGTGGCGCATGCCTGTAGTCCCAGCTACTTGGGAGGCTGAGGCAGAAGGATCGCTTGAGCCCAGGAGTTTGAGGTTGCTATGAGCTAGGCTGATGCCATGGCACTCACTCTAGCCTGGACAACAAAGCAAGACTCTGTCTCAAAAAAAAAAAAAAAGTGTGAGTTCCTGGTATGGGTGGTGGGAAATCTCCCAGCTGGGACCTGGCCCTCACTGCACCCACCGGCACATCTACACAACACGCCACAGCTAACACACACAATGCTGTGGGAAAGACAAGAGTAATCTCAAATTCATTCGCATTGACCTTAAACGAAGTCCACAGAACACCAAGAAGGGCCGACACTGACATGCCCTGAGGCTCAGGAGGGCAGGACCGGGCATCATGACACAGGGCAGGGGCCTGCAGGGTCTGCGGTCACCACTCTCTGGCAAGGCAGAGTGTATGGCAACACAGTTTCAGAAAAATTTCTGACCAAATAGTTGTTTCTAAAGGTATTATTTGAAGTGGATGTTTTAAATCATGGGGACAGCTTTACTAAGAGAGAATACCTCAGGCCTCCCTGAACAAATGCAACATCACTGAAATTAGATGTAGACAGAGTCACACCTTGAGGACAGTTTATTCTAATGAGATAAGACTGGTTAATATTTCCTTAGTTTCCGCAAATAAAGCCTAAGCACTGTGCCAGGTGCAGTGGCTCATGCTGTAGTCCCAGCTACTTGCAAGGCTGAGGCAGGAAGATCCCGTGAGCCTAGGAGTTTGAGTCTAACCTCAACAACATAGTAAGAGAGTAATAGCAGAGTAATTTTAAAAGGGGACTGGGGGGCAGGGCACATTTCTAGTTCTTTAGCAGTAAGTCTCCTGTAAGATACTCTTTAATCTACACATAGACTAGTGATAAGAGAAATTGTCAGGCATTTTAAAATTCTTTTAAATTACATTCTGTAGTACCATGTTCAAGGTATATTTTTCTAAAATCAAATCTACAAAGTTTGTCATAGATGGGACTTTTACGGATCACGACCACCTTTCAGTAATGTGGGTGCGAACCAGAGAACACGGTCCCAACCCCACCCCGACGCTCCCCCGGGACGGCGGTGTGCAGGTGCAAGCAGAGGGAGGCACACGCGTGATTCCTAGAGACTGACGTCCTCCCTGGCTGCTCTTCAGGCCACCTCCCCTGTGGAGACAGCGAGCAAGGCACACAAGGACAGGACGCCACATAAAGTGTGATGCTTCTGCTCCCACGAGGACAGACACCGATGCTAATGCAAGCGACCCTTTCTCTAGAAACATGAGGTCTTAACAGCGGTGTTTGTTTCTGGAGAAAGACAAAGGAATTGGGGGGGGGCAGCTTTTATTCTTCCCACTGTCCTTTACACATAGCTCACCTACCACCCCCGCTCCCCAAAAGTTAACAGAGGCTATCCGGGCTCTGGAAGCAAGGAGCATTTAAAATTTTTTTCTCTGTATTTTTTATTTAAAAAAAAATGGTCAATGCTACATTTTAAAGTTACTGGATCCTACCCACAGGTTCAGAAAAATAAAATAAAGAAAAAAATTAAAGAAAAATAAAGTTACTGGATAAACTATATCACCAAAAATATTGAAGATACTGTAATAATTTGGAAAAATATATACTACATGAAAAACAAATTTACATGTACTAATTTTTTGCTGTTTTAGAAGAACAAAAATACACTTAAAAAAAGACATTTAAAAAGACTAATAGCATTTTTACTAGAATTAACTGCAATGTTTTTCTACTCAATCCCCAAACACTGGTAATGAATTTTCCTTTATAAATTAAAAAAAAATGAATGTATATTTTAAAAGTCTTACTTACATTTAATTGCTTTTGCTTTTCTCTTCACTATCCTTAGTCCCCCCAAACCTTCTAGAAAACCCCACCATCAGGTTTGCCTGGCCTGGCTACTGCTCTTCTTGGAGCCAATGTCACAGCTAAGCTCGGGCGGTGCTGACTCCGGCACTTACGGCCTAATCCACTAAGACCGGACCTGCTGAGGTCTCAGGTCTGTCCTTCATGACCCACATCTGCCCAGAGCTTTCACTTGGGGCTTCCGTTTTGAAAATACTTCTCACAGAAATTTAAATAACTTGAAAGCAAGTATGTTAAGTGATCTGCCCCTACTTTAGATGCAACATCTTTGTGAGTCAAGTGTTAATGTAATTTTTAAAATAGAGTATTTCACGCTGGCAGCTGTATTCCTCCGGTTCCTCACAAAGGCAGCAGACCCTGTCCCTCACACCCAAGATCCCGTGAAGTCTGGAGGGCATGTCAACCCCATAGCTGATACACAGTCACCAACGACACAAAGGGATATGACTTTCACCAATTCGCTTTCCAACCTGGTCTGCTTATTACAGAACAGGACAGTGTTATCTACATCACAGAGTTAAAATGGAAATTAAACAAGACAACCAATGTGAAGTGCTCTGTCTGCCCTATAGTGATTAAACTATGAAATGTCCCTTTTAACAAGCAACCTCAAGGACGATGGGCACCATCGTCCCCAGTACACACACCTACGGTCTCCCCACCGAGCAGCAGGCCAGTCCTGAGTCACCTGGTCACCAGCCAGCGGCACACCCTGGGGCCCCCCTGTGTGGCACTGCACGGGATAGTGGCAGCACCTCGGAAACTTCCTACGTCAAAATCGGCCCCACTGACCCCCCCGGCATCTTAAACCAGGATAGAAATTTGGGTCAGCCACACAGTATCACAGGTCACCTCCAAGATTAAAAAGAATTTTGAGAGAAAAGAGTTTGCATGAGGAATTTAAACCAATTTTATCAGCTTTTCGATTTTTCTTTCATTCCCAAGTCCAGGTTAACCTCCAAAATGAAGACAGCGCAAATTGAAAGGGCAGCAAAGCACTCAGGCCTCTCCCTTACAGATTGCTCTTCACAGTCCTGTGGCCAGTTAACGGCAGCAGGACAGAAATGCCACAGCACAGAAGGACACTGTCACTGCAGCAGGTGCACAGCGACGGCCCCGAGGACACCGCACCGCACGAGGTGTCCACAGCCTTCTCCACGGCAGGCACTGTCTGAGCTCAGCAGCTGGGAGCAAGGCCACACAGGTGAGACACGGATGATAAACCACATGGGAGTTTCATAGGGTGACGCATGCCAGAGAGGGCAGGGCAGGGGTGCTGCTTTGCACAGCTGTCAGACACTACCCGACTAAGGGGCTGACAGAGGAGCTGAAGCCTGGTGGGTACAAAGAACACTGTGCCCTGGCTCGAGATGCTATTTTCTACGACGGCAGCCACTGCCAAAATCATACCTTCATGCTCGGCAATGCTCACACCAAGTAACCTCTCAAAACAGTCAATTTGACCAACCCCCCACAACTACAAAACACAGCAGCATGGTCGACTCCGCAGGAGGCAGTGGCAACTTGCCGTCCCCGAGAAACCCCAGGACAAGCAAGCAACGCTGGTTGGCTGGTTTGTCTTCAACAAATGAACTTCAAGGGAAAAAAAAGAGAGGATGACATGGAGGGGTATTTGTGGATTAAGGGAGTTCAGAGTTGCCCAGTCCCACTTCCTTCACATCACAGTCACAAGTCAACTCACCCAGCCACCCAACACCTCCAAAGGGGGACCATAGGAACCACAGCACGAGGGCAGGATGCATTCGGAAAGGGACTGCACAGGGAGTGGGCGTGAGCCAGCAGGGCCCTTGCCGCCCTCCCTCCCATTGCTGGCATCACAGCAAATGGCTGCCGGCCCCTTCTCCTGAGGCCTGAGGTCTCTGGCATCATGAAAAGTATCTGTGCTTCCAGCTGCTCTCCCTCTCCTAAACTCGTTAGCCCGTGGACTCATTCTGCTTTCAGGGTTGAGCACAAAACCTAGCATGTACTAGGCAATCAAAATTGCTTAATAAATACACCACCTTCAAACACATTGAGTCCAAACAGGAAGTCCTAGTTTAATTATTTCAGAGCCAAACTTTATACATGACAGATGGAGTCTCATGAAATGAACAGCACCCATCCAGAAGGAAGACCTAATGGGAAAAGGTGGTAGAAAAGTTGCAATCACGCAGCACATGCAACAGGAGACTACACTCAAACAGCCTTCCCCCTCCCTCCTTTTTTTTTTTTGATGAGACAAGGGTCTCACCCTGTTGCCTGGGATAGAGTGCAGTGGTGTCATCACAGCTCAAACTCCTGGGCCTGAGCGAGCCTCCTGTCTAGGCCTTTCAAAGTGCTGGTATTACAGGTGTGGGCCACTGTGCCTGGCTCCAAGTACCTTTTTTACAGGGGGCCTGTAAGTCCTCTAGTTTTGGAGAAGACTCTGCCACCTGCCCTGCCATTTGCACTCCAATATGTAGAAATAACCTTTGTTTTCACATTTGCTCCCTGTAAACAATGATGAACGCTATTTCCCTCCAAAACAGTATTTTTATCAGCATTTTCATGTCCAGCCCACCTAAGCAGGACCAGTGGTATCTAATAAGCCTGCTGACTGAGGGCAGGGTGACATTTTGTGGCTGGACAGTCACAAGATCAATGTTCAAATCCTGATGCTTTCTTATCGCCAGGTAGAAAGTGGAGACATGGCCATCCCCCTGCTAGCGCTATGAGGATTCAATCCACAGAACCGTGGCTGACACACAGTAGACACTCACTAAATACGACCTGTTCCAAAAGCAGTTACGAAATTTTTAACCTGAAAAAATTTAAGTAATGGCTAAAAAACAACCTCCCCCCTCCCCGCCTGCCAGGCTTTCCACACACAGTCAGTGGGATGGGCCCTTTCGCAGCCTGCTTGTGTAGTCTTTTAAACAACTTTCTTAAGATGCGACACACAACACACATGTGCAAGCTGATCTGTTTTGACAGCAGCGTGCACCCGTGAAATCCTCCTCACAACTCAGAAAGTGAATCTGTCCGCCTACCCCAGTCCATGAGCTTGCGCCGTCCCTCCCTCCAGCCCACCCAGTCTCAGGCAAGCACTGATCTGCTTCTAATCACTACACGTTGGTCTGTGTTTTCTAGAAACGTACATCCATGGAGTCACAGTGTGGATTTTCTAACAGGGTGGCTTCTCTCAGCTCGATTATTCCGAGATGCAGCCGTGTTCTTGCACGTCTAGGTCTCTACGTGGACATCTTCTTTCACTCCTCTCGAATGGACACCCAGGAGTGGAAGTGCTGGATCGCACTGCAGGTGTGCATTTTAGGAAAATGCCAAACTGCTTCCACAATGGTGGTGCCTTTTCACATTCCCACCATTCCCAGCAGCAGCGCAGGCAGGTCCAGTTCCTCAGCCCCTGCTGCCGAGTGGCCCTCTGGTCTTCCTAACAGGAGAGTAATGGCGCTTCCCTGACGGCGGGAGATTCTGACTGTCTCCTCACGTGCTTACCTGCTGCCTCTGTGTGTTCTCTGGCAAGGTGTGTGTTCAAGTCACTTCCCCCACCTTTTTTAACTCGGTGACTTGTTTTCTTAATACTGAGTTTTAAGAATTTAAGAGTTCTTTACATATCCTCGATACAAGTCATCTGAAAGACGTGATTTGCAAACATTTTCTATGGCCAATCTATGGTCTGCCAAGGAACACAAATTTTTAATTTTGATAAAGTCTACTTTATAAATGTTTTCTTTTACAGACTGTGTCTTTGATGTCATATCTAAAAAATCTTTGCTTAACCCAAAATCTCAACAATTTTTCTATGTTTTCTTTTTGAAGTTTTTCTAACTAAAGATTTATATTTCAGGTCAGGCACGGTGGCTCACGCCTGTAATCCTAGCACTCTGGGAGGCCGAGGCAGGCAGATAGCTCAAGGTCAGGAGTTCGAAACCAGCCTAAGCAAGAGCGAGACCCCATCTCTACTATAAATATAAATTAACTGGTCAACTAATATATAGACAAAAAATTAGCCGAGCATGGTGGCGCATGCCTGTAGTCCCAGCTACTCAAGAGCTTGAGGCAGCAGGATCGCTTGAGCCCAGGAGTTTGAGGTTGCTGTGAGCTAGGCTGATGCCACGGCACTCACTCTAGCCTGGGCAACAAAGCAAGACTCTGTCTCAAACAAACAAACAAATAAAGATTTATATTTCAGTCTATGGTCCGCTGAGTTAATTTTTGTGCATTGTGTCAAGCTTACCTTTTTTGCATAAGGATATCCAATTGTTCCATCACGTAACTGCTCAATTTAATTTTGCTTTTTTAATTTAAAGTTATTTCAAACTTCAAAGAGTTACAAGAATAAAAAGCTGCATACCCTTACCCAGATTCACCAGCCATGGACACTGGGACATTTGCTTTGTCACTTCTACTTTATACAAACATAAAGGAATTTTTTTCACCCTGAATCATGTACCCCTTTTGTCTATGTCATATATTGGTATTTCATTTAAGATTTGATTTGAAAAAAGGACTCTCTGGCTTTGTAATGAAAACAGTTGGAAATGCCGTTCTTGTCTAGAATGTAGATGATAATCACCTGGGGCTCAGTAGCGGTTCATGCTTGTAATCCTAGCACTCTGGGAGGCTGAGACGGGAAAATTGCTTAAGCTCAGGAGTTCAAGACCAGCCTGAGCAAGAGCGAGACCCCAACTCTACTAAAAATAGAAAAACTAGCCAGGCATAGTGGTGGCGCCTGCAGTCCTAGCTACTCAAGAGGCTGAGGCAGGAGGATCACTGAAGCCCAGGACTTTGAGGTTGCTGTGACCTATGATGATACCACTGCACTCTAGTCTGGGCAAGAGGGGAAGGAAGGGAGGGAAAGTGAGGAGGGAGGAGGGAGGGGAGGGAGGAGGGGGGAGGAGGGAGGGAGGGAGGGAGGGAGGAAGAAATAATAATCACTTGGGACTTTAAGCTTCTTGCTGAACATTTAAACGGAAGCTTTATAAGAAGGCATCCTTCTGAGGATCGATTTGTTCTGAAAACCAACTTTGGGCTTAAAAGAGACAGCAAAACGTTAACAAAACCAAGCTATTAAAAAAACATACTGAAGAAATTTATCTACTGTATTTTAAAAACTGATAAGGATCAATTACATCAGAATTACCTTAATTCAGAAGTGCTTCTGGTCTGGTGTCCAATACATGCAAATGTGTCTGTAACACACAGAAAAGGCTCTATTTGCATTGCATTCAGGTTGTGAAGAAAATATCCCATTGTGCTAGTAGTTAACACTTTAAGCAAAAGCACATATGACTCTATCCCTTCCCTATTACTATTTCTTACCCAAAATTGCTTTACTTAGTACTTTTGTATTTTGTTTGTCAGTATGAAAAAAACAAATATGATCTCAATTTCTTTTTTAAGAATCCTTAGAAATACCCAGGGAAAAATACTTTGAATTAAACTGAAAAGATGGGGGGTAGGGTTAGAATCCTATTATTAGACAAATTACAGTAATAATAAAAAACCATTGCAATTCAACAACTTCTTAGGATTAATCTAATCCAGACTTTCCCCATTTGGCAGGTGAATGGAGAGGAATCCCAACAGAATCCCAAAGAAGCCACTGGCTAACTGCTTCCTGAGTCCTAGTGAGTCTACACACCAACACCTCCAATCTTCTCCCCTCCCCCTTCCTGCTGCCACTCCCTGCCCAGGGCCTGCCCTGGGGTCCAGGATGCAGTCTGGAATGCCCACAGAGATCTCAGGGGAGGCTCCTGGCTCTTGACACACCTCAGGTGGAACAAGATATGTTAAATTCCAGATTTCTCCTGAAATATCTGCTTGTACCTTCCCAGAAACTAAGTTTCAAAACATTTAAAAATGTTTCTGTAATCTTCTCCCCCAAAATTAAACTGTGTAAAAAGACCACTTGGAAGTTTCATGGTTACCACCTGCCTGTTAATTCAGTATCTGTGAGTCTACACACTCTGGGCACACGTCTAGCCTGGGGTGGGGAGAGGTGCTGAGAAGCTGAACCATCTCCCACTTGAACTGTGAATTCTAGGTCATTTACTTAAGTAACTTTGGAATAATGCTGCTTATGTACAAGCAAGCCCATACATTTTGGCAGTAAAAGTGGGTGTGGAAGGAAAACTGACAGTTCTTCAAAAAGTTAAACACAGAAATAATACATGACCTAGCACTTCTACTCCTAGGGACATACCCCAGAGAACTGAAAACTAGGACTCAGCGCATGCACACATCATGTTCACAGGGGCAGTGTTTGGCAGCTAGAAGGTGGAAACAGCCCAAACGCCCACCGATCCATGGCTGGGCAAACAAAACGGGGTATGTGCACACGGTGGAGTATTATTCAGCCACAAAGACAAACAGGCACTGACACGTGCTACTGCATGGAGAAACCTCACCAACATTACACTGAGTAAAAGAAGCCAGGCAGAAAGGTCACATACATGCTGTATGACCCCGAGTGTATGAAACACGCAGAGTAGGGGTTGCCAGAGGCTGAGCACGAGTGTGAGTGTGTGTGTATATAATGAGCAACTATTTAATGGGTACAGGGTTTCCTTTTGGGGCGATAAAAATGTTGTGAAATTGGGTAGAAGTAGAAATTGCACAACACTGTGAATATACTAACTGCCACTGAATTGTTCACTTTAAAATGGTTTAATTTTATGTTATGTGGCTTTCACCTTAAAAAAAAAAAGTGTGAAGGTGTGAAGTCAGGGAACCTAGGAGTTAATAGTGAATGAAAACTACTGCCACCTTCACAAACCCAAACCCGTGCTCCAGGGAAGGTCCTCTGAGCACAGACCCAAGGCACCACCTGCTGAACCAAGTTTCAAAGCAGGAGTCTTAGCATCAGCACACGTTCTGGGCAGGATTGTTGTCTGTGGGGGCACTCAGAAGCATCCCTAGCCTCTGCCCTCTGGATGCCAGAGGCATTCCCTTCCCCGCTGTAACAATCACCAGATGTTCCCGGAGGGGCAGTTGAGAACTCTGTTGTTAAAAAAGTGATGGTCACAGTTATCCCACCTCTAAATATAAATCTTCCCAAGTATTTCCCATGTCAAAACTAGTCAGAAAAAATGCATCACAGCTTGCTCTACTTCAAATGATGAGCTCACCCTGCGGCTCAAACCCTGACTCACAGAGGTTATAGCAAAAGCAAGGATGCTTAATGTGCTACGCAGCCACCTCACCTGTATCCACCTGTGTAGGTGTCTGGACTCATTTCTGGCTAAAACCAAGACCCAACTGTCGACTCTTTCTGACTACCCAGGCCACAGAACCCAGGACTAAGGACAAGACTACTGGTCCCACAATAATGTGACCCTAAACCAGTAGCACCACCCTTAAAGAAAACCAGGAAACTGAGGATTTAATAAAACCAAAGCCTACGTTCTACATTTCACACGCTGCTGTACCCATGAAAGGCAAGAGGTCCAGTGGGAGGGAGAGGTGCATCTTAAGACGCCCGGGCTAACAATACTGGATTGTTGGAGCCTGGCAGCCTGGAGCACCTGGGATCCACAAGGGGCTGGCAGCAAGAGAGCCTTGCCGGGCCATCAGGAGCAAATACCACTGAGAGCGAGGCCTGGCCTCAATAGGTCCTGCTACAGATCCTGAAAGGGGTGGCAGAAATATCTGCTGAATCTTTCTCTGTTACACTTTTGTTAGAGAGCAATCCGCCAGGGAAATTGGAGGAATTAAGGGAAGATATAGACATAAATTTCAAGAAAAACATAAACAATTTACAGACCCGTTTTTAGCCAAAATTTATATTTAAAATAAAATTCAAATCACAGATTTACACGAGTAAATATAAATTTATCATCAATTTTATGAGACAACCAAGTTGTACACAAAACTCTTAAAAGACTCCAAACAAACCCACCCAACAGCACAGCTCATGGACCCTATTGCTCTGTCCAAGCAGTGGCCTGCTGTAAGCATGAGCCCTGCTGTGCCCTGAATTCCGTGGACAGGTCAGCCTGTGCACCCTGGCACACCGCAAAGCTCCTAGACTGCACTTTGCATGAGGAAGGACTGGCGCCACGCACCACACCCCTTCCTTCCCAGCACTGGCTTCCTCTGGCTACATCTCAAATGCTGGCCTTTGAAGACTACCTAATACCTTAGCTTTATTTTAAAGCTGCCTATGGGCTGGGCGCGGTGGCTCACGCCTATAATCCCTCAGCACTCTGGGAGGCCAAGGCGGGCAGATTGCTCGAGGTCAGGAGGTCAGGAGTTCGAAACCAGCTTGAGCAAGAGCGAGACCCCATCTCTACTATAAATAGAAATTAATTGGCCAACTAATATATACATGGAAAAAATTAGCTGGTCATGGTAGCACATGCCTGTAGTCCCAGCTACTTGGGAGGCTGAGGCAGTAGGATTGCTTGAGCCCAGGAGTTTGAGGCTGCTGTGAGCTAGGCCAACACCATGGTACTCTAGCCTGGGCAACAGAGCAAGACTATCTCAAAACAAAAAAGAAAGGGGGGGGGGAGTCTCATGTGAGCTTATGTGATTTGGGTAAAACCCTGTAAATATATAAGAATGGCCAGGACAGGACTCTGAGGCTCAGGAAGGAAAAGCTGAAGCAGAAAATGTAGGCTAGACACACTCAGACTATGCTCTCTGGAGACTGCAGGGAAAAGGGGCGGCAGCCCAGAGCAGAGAAGCTGCAGCGAACGCAAAGTCACTCTCAGGGACTGTGGGCTTCATGGCTCTTGGACAAGTGCCCAACAGCAGGGTAGTCTATTTTCATAGTTGTGGCTGTTTCATGGCTATATTCGATTAAAATGCCTAGGGGATTTCCAAAGATGGAATTACTGATTACTGTGTGAAAGATTAGGTACCTTTTCAAGGCTCTCTCTCTCTCTCTCTTTCTCTCTCTCTCTCTCTCTCTCTCTCTCTCTCTCTCTCTTTTTTTTTTTTTTGGAGACAGAGTCTCACTCTGTTGCCCGGGCTAAAGTGCCATGGCATCAGCCTAGCTCACGGCAACCTCAAACTCGAGGAGCTGGGACTAGAGGTTTTCGCCACTACTTTTAGTTGCCCAGCTGATTTTTTTTTTTTTCCTATTTTAGTAGAGACAGGTCTTGCTCGTCTTGAACTCCTGAGCTCAAGGGATCCTCCCACATTGGCCCCCTACAGAGTGGTAAGATTATAGGCGTGAGCCACCATGCTCAGCCTCAAGGATGGTGATAAAATCAACTGAGAGTATGTTTTGACTCTATAGAATTAGTTTAGCAATATTAAACAGTAATGTGATTAACCTCTTTGTACCTAAATAACTTAGTACATGTTGAGGTTTTAAGTATCAAATACTACTATTTATATGAGTGTGGTATTGTTATTTCATATTTTTCAAAATCTGGAAACTGGATCCTCTTGAGTGTTTCATATCAAGCAAAGGTACACTGGTTGGGTATGATTTCGTCTATATCAACATAACCCCAAGATGAGAAAAAAACACACAGGTACACCATAATTTATCTACCATTCTGAGGCCAGATGCAGAGGCTCATGCCTATAATTCCAGCACTTTTCGAGGCCAAGGTAGAGGCCAGGTGTTCCTATCAGCCTGAGCAACATAGCAGGACCTCATCTTTACACAAAATTTAAAAATTAGCCAGATGTGGTGACATGGACCCAGCTACTTGGAAGATAGCTTGAGCCCACGACTTTGAAGTTGCAGTGAGCTGTGATGACACCACTGCACTCCAGCCTGAGCAACAGAGCAAGATTCAATAAACAAAACAAATAATTACAATTCTGAGATTCCAAAACCAGAACAGAAAAGACACATGGGCATCAATTGGCCTTTTTCTGTATTCAGTGTTAACAGTCTTAGGTTTATCACAGGCTTTAAGGCACCTGATTATAAGCTTTGCTGTAAGTACTGTGCATACACACCACTTTATCTTTCTAAGCCCTAAAAAAATGTGAATCCCAAACCTATTCAGTCCTAAGAGTTTTGCTAAAGAACTAAGAGCTTGTAAGAGACAAAGTAAACTCACTTCTGTATAATTCTCTTATACAAAGACATACTGAACAAGAATGTGAAATGATAATACTAAAATTAATAATGACACCTCTGTATCATCATCTTCAACTATCTATGACTGGCCAGGTGTGGTGGCTCACAACTGTAATTGAAGCATTTTTGGAGGCCAAAGGTGTGAAT